GTCAAACATTGAGGGTTGGCTGTGATGTAGGATTTAGGATGGTGGGAAAGAAAGACAGCAGGCTGAGCTGAAGGTCGGAGAGTTGGAGATGTTAAGATTTTGACTATGAGAGACCAGAATGGAAAAGAAAATAGACATCAAAAAGACATCAGAGGAACAGGCAAGGCTGAGCAGTTCAGAGACCAAAAAAAAAAAAAAGCAAAGTGGAAACAGTGGAGATACAGTGTATATACTCGACAAATGCTTTTAAAGATGGAGGAAGACCACAAAGAAGATTTGTGGATAGAGTAAAGAAGGATGGCTAGAGTGCTAGTGTAATGAGGAGGATGCAAGGGATAGGATGAGAAGCAGGTAGATGATCCCAAAGTAAATTTGCCTTGCCACATGTAGTATTTTCTGTCTACGTTAGCATTAGTTTTATTGTTTCATGTGCAGCTTCTGAGCTTTCTGAGGAAAAAACGTGTTGCTTTTTAAAAAAAGGAAATCTTTATGTGGTTTTAATACTACACATGATAGCAGTGTGACTAATGCAGACAGCAATCGTAGCAATGGTGGATGAATTTTCTGGTTCTCCAACATCCAAAAAAAACCTAAAAATAAATGTAGCTTAGAGTAGTTTTTAAATCCAGGCTGTAGACAATCCAAGTGCACTCTTACTGTTTTTCATGTTGAAATATGTGTAAATGTTCAAATGTAGTCATTAAATATTTAAATGTACAATTAAATGTTTAAATGTATGTATAAGTGTTGGAAATCATAAAAACTGGTTTCACTGGATATATAACGTGTCTTTTCTGTTTGATTGATATTTGTGTATTTATTTGATTAATTAGATGTAAAAATTAAATGCATCATTTGGCCGGAGTCTAGGTTTGTCAGCATAAAGTAAAAATGAAGTTGGGTAAAATGAGGAGTAAACAACCCTGAGCAGGAAAAAAAAATTTTTTTTTCCCTTTTTTATGAAAGATAAATATAAATAATGGTCTACAATGAAGCACAGTCCTTAGCCCACTGCACTTAAGTAGAGTATTTACCTGTTGCCATGGTGAATCTATTTATGGCTATCCGTCGAAGCTTTGAGTGAATCAGCCTTAATCATCTTTCCTAGAACTGAAAACTGTTACATTTTTTTCTAACATCATCACATTTACACTGATTCTTTCATGATTTTATGTTTTAGAAAGTTTAGCAGTAACAGCAGGTTTTAAATCTTAAATCATCATTTGTACACATACAAAACTCCCAATTTAAAAAAAGTAATTTATTAATACACATTACTTTGTTCAAAATAATTATAGTATAAAACAATGTTTTAAAAATCCCTTTTATTTCTGGTTAAACCCTCTTGTCTACAGAAAGTGCCCTTAAAGTTCAATATTATTGACATAGTCACTGTACAGTGTTGGGCAAGTTACTTTGAAAAAGTAATTAATTATAGTTACTAGTTACTTCTTCAAAAAAGTAACTGAGTTAGTAACTGAGTTACAATATTCTAAAAGTAATTAATTACTTGAAAAGTAACTATTGCGTTACTTAAAAAAAAAATTTTTTTTAACCCTCTGGGGTCCAGGGTATAATTGGCCAATTTTAACTACTTTTGATTTTCCCTCCACATTTCACCTTTAAAAACTACTTACTTCATCCTTTTCAGCACAACCTCACATGTCTGAATTTACAGTTATGGTTTCATTTTGACATACTGTATTAACACAATTGATCTAAAATCAGACAAAAAACATAAAATC